AAGTTAATTTTCTCGAAACTCATYGCAGAGATTGTAATAAAATTTTCAGAATCATTTTTTAATAACATAATTGATATACTGACAAAGTTTYAATAAAATMTTAAMCTAAAATTTCGAKTTGTTTGAGCAAAATGATGTACATTCGAACAAATGAAAATGAAATTCAGTATCCAACTCCTAGTGATTTGGGTGAATATAGTTTGTTTTACCATTACCAGCTGTATATTATGATTACTATAAATGTTATGATTACTTGTCTTACCATTTATTTCTTTTCTTCAGTTCTTTCCCGTCAGTTCAAAGAATGGCCAAAAAGTGCAACTGTGTTACAAGGAGAAACCGTCAGATTTGCATGCCAAGCAAAACATGCCATACCAGAGCCTACCGTGGTGTGGAAAAAAGACGGACAGATGGTTATTCCAGGAGTAAGACATGTTATACTTCCTAATGGAGTACTTCAAATACTTAAAGTACAGAAATCAGATGAAGGAAACTACCAATGTATCATTGAAAACATTGCCAGAAGAAGAACAAGCTTATCAGGCCTGTTAACAGTAAAACAAGGTAAATGCTGATTGTTGTATTTCTATTAATGATATTTAATGCATGAACTTGCAATAAGACAGTTCATGACCTGTCATTACTGATCTRTAAGAGGCTAAAGTATCGCTATTAAAGTCAATTGTTATTTATTGTTACTATATGTTTTTACTCTGTAAAGTTATGTGTGATCTATGCGAAGTAACATAATAACAAAATGTTGTATAAAAAGATAAATTTAACACCGTAAMAAAAGTAGGTGAAATAACTTACTGACATTTAGGATGTAACTAATCTTTGTCGGAATAAAGAGATGGAACTCTAAAAACTWAACAGTTGTTTTAGTTATCACATATCAATTATTAAAGAGTATTGTTTTAGAAACAATTGATTAGCATAACCTACAGTAAATGTATCTTTGATTAAATGTTTTTATTGTACATTGCAGCTGTTGCACCAGTCAAAAACCCTGTTCATTTTGCCATTATTCCTGGGAATACCTCAGCAGTAACTGGACACAAAGTTATCATGGAATGTATTGCTACAGGGATACCTGTTCCTTTTGTGCAGTGGAAAAAAGTTGGTAGATACAACAAGCAAAACCTTAATGCTACCTCTGCTAATGAAGGCAGTAGTAACTTACAAATCTCATCTGTTTCTGTGAGAGATCAGGGGGAGTATCTCTGTGTTATATCCAGCGAAGGAAAGACAATCATGCAGTCAGTGTATTTATTTGTTAAAGGTAAGTTGAAATTCAGGTCTTAAGTCAAGTGGTGCTAAACTTGACCTTGATATGATGTTCAGGTTCAAATGCTTTCATTTGTGTTCATCTTTGAATCCCAAATCAGTCGACATAGAGACTGATCCACTTAGAATATTTGTGCACCACACATCTCTCTGATAATCTTATATTTTCATATGAACTTACTACATGTATCTTATTTCCAGAACCACCTCAGTTCACAAAAACACCACCAGAAAATGGCATTGCATTCCAAGGTAAAACAGTTCAGTTAAAGTGCTCGGCAAAAGGGTCTCCTTTGCCAAAAATAACATGGTTAAAAAATGGTAAAGTCATYAATCTGCTGGACAGTAGAATAACCATGAGTAGCACAGGACAAAACAACAGAGACCTGCTGATAGCAGGTATTTCAAAGAAAGATGAGGGTGTGTATCAGTGTTTTGCTGAGAATGCCCTAGGAAGCACCCAGTCAAGTACAAGAGTTATCGTGAAAAGATCAGGTACTGTATGATATAAACTATGTAGTATTCTGTATTAACTGATGAAGTTATAAATTTGTCTGCATTGCTCCTATCATTTTTGAGTTGAGGTTGATTGGGTAGCAAAGCTCAAAGCATCTATGAATAAAAAATTGTCCAGCTCTGTGGTTGTCAATGGTAGTGTATACTAAAGTTTGGTGGAAATCAAAAGGTTTTAAATTTTTTAAATTTTTATATCCATCAAATTTCTTGATATCATGATGAGTCCAGCCTTATCTGGAAATTTTGAAAAAGTCTTCACCAATTGAAAATCACTTGCAATCATTTGCTGGTTGAATTTGAGCTAACATAATTGTTTTTTTTTTTTAGTAATGAATATGTCACCTCCTCATAGTCTAGTAGGCAARGCTTTGTCTGCATCTGAAATAAGCGTAACATGGAAGCCACCAAATGGACATCCTAAACTTGCTGCATATGGAGTCACTGTTCAACCTATGGATAATAGTTCCAAGAAGAACACTCAGGTCTCCCAAAATACCTCATACACCATAACCAATCTGCAAGGAAACACCTATTATAGCATATATGTAACACCATTTTTCAGAAAATATGGTATGGGAATAAAGTCTGCAACTATTAAAATCAAGACATTAGAAGGAAGTGAGTTGTTTATTACATCACACTATCTATTTAAATCTAATTAGTCTTTAATTAATTAATTCTATATAATTATTGTTCTAGTAATAACATTGTTTTTCCATGGCATTAAACCAAGAAAAGTAGAGAGCAAACATATAGCAGGCTCTCAGAGCAAACTGTAGTATCAAAAGATAATGYTGTCGGGAAGTAGTATGGCTATGTTAGTATTGACTGAATGTTCTGCAAAGTACTGTCTATGACTATGTTAGTCCAAGATATTTATCTGTGGAACATATTTGTAAATTATTATTGTTAATCCAAAATTTGAAAGTTAAGGTTGACCAAGCATTTTCACAAGACTATGGCAATATAGCTACTAGTATTATTAATCAATAGGCATGAAGGTGTTCGCTCATGCATCATGTGCGGGTGCATTAATTTATCTGCAAGTAGAATTTTTGCAAGAAAATCAGACAAAACAATTTGTTTTTTTAAGGGTAGGAATGATGATGATTGTGGCACATGATGGATATATGATTAATATATTGTGCAATATACATGCTTCTTGCCTCASTGATTATCTATTCATTGTTATACTAGACCTTTCTTGTATCTAATTGTTTTAATGCCATATTTCCATAATTTAAATTGTTTGTTTATTTTTTAATTTGATTCAATTTGTTCTTATTCAGAACCAACAAGTCCACCAGTAAACATTGACTTCACAAGTAATACACCTGACGTAAGTTTCTTACAATATTTTTTCTTATATTTATCTGCGGATGATTATTTATTCACATCCAGAAAATCAGTCATGTATTATATTTGACAATTAGACCTCGAGGGCAAGTGGTTTACAAGCTGATAGCCCATGAGGCCAAAGACCAAATGGACTATCAGTTCAGTTCGTAGTCCATGAGGCTAAGAGGTCTAATTGTTTTAGTATTACAATACTAGTTGAAGATAAAAATGAATGAAATGTATAAATAACAAAATGGTTTTATTGCTAAAACTTTGCACTTACGGGTTCAATTAAATTTGCATAAATTATTGCTGACTTTTGAAAAGTGAAAAAATTAATTTACGACACACTGATAAAAGCTAGATTGAGTGAACAAACTTAAAATGGTCCTTAAMACATCGTTTTGACTCMCAACATTTCTAAAAGAAAATCAAAACTGACACTTTTCACTAGCCTAGGACTATTGAAAATAGGCCCCGAGTAGCATAGCCAATCAGAACGAAGRATTTGCAATAGTCCGCTAGTATGGTAATACTAATATGCAATGTTCAACTATAAACACATTGTACTCAAATTGATGTAATACTCATTGTATTCAAATTATGCACTTTTCTCTGATCCACTTTTTTCAGAAATTTCTTCAAATTTTTTTTCCATAACTTTTTTTTTGGCACCCTATCAGAATGGCTTTTAAAAAGACTGTATTGAACCTCCTATAATTAAAAATTGTATTATACATATTGATAGTTTTTGTTCTAGATATAGATATAATTTTATTTTCAAAACATAAAGGAAATTTAACACTGCAGGCAGTGACATTTTAATCAGTAGTTCTTAATGTAGTTTTGTAAAAAAATGTTTTTTAATCAGAGTTTTATTTTATTTACCTTATAGAGCATTGATGTATACTGGTTCCCACCTCCAAAACGATATCAAAATGGTTTTATTATGAACTATTTCATTCGCTACTCACCAAAAGATGGCAGCTCTCAACCAAGAATCATTCAGGTGTCAAGTGCTGTCAAACAGAAGACAGTCAGTGGCCTAACAAGTGGAAAAAGTTATGGCTTTGAGTTAGCAGCAGAAACATCAAAGGGCATTGGACCATTCAGCAATAGAATGTTTTTTCTTGTATCTACAAAATATCTTACTAGTAAGTTAGAGTTGAGTTATCAAACAGGACTCATTGTTAGCAAACATGACTCATTACATATCAAGGGTGACATAATATTTATGTTTTTAGAAAAATTGCTATTACTGACTGTCAGTATGGATTGTGTGTGCAAATCCTTTCTATACCACTTTTTGTCTTTTGTTGTGTGTGTTAAACACTCTCACTCTACCCTCACATTATCAAACTATAATTACAAGTTCGTTGATGGTAAGATTTTCCATGAAAATACTACATCCAAGTCTGAGGTTTTTAGTTGAGAATTCAAATGTTATTGTACAAATCCTCTTTATATAGTACAATTAAAATAGTAGTAATATAATAGTAGCTTATCAAGACCATTTATATATATTCTTCTTGAATTTCAGTGATCAGCGCACCCAACATTAACATCAGCTTTGTAAATAGCACAGCATTAGGGTTAACTTGGCAGAAACCTTTATTTGGACACAACAAAGTCAAGCAGTACAAATTATCTTACATCAAAGACAGTGCTCCATTTGAAGGTTTTGGTCCCTTTAATGTCAGCAGAAACCTGAACCAATATGTCATCAGTGGCCTAAGTAAGTTATGAGATTGATGGAATGATTGAATGAGACTGAATTGATTCATAATGGGTGATGTCATCAGTGGCCTAAGTAAGTTATGAGATTGATGGAATGATTGAATGAGGCTGAATTGATTCATAATGGGTGATGCAATGACTTGATGGATGAATAATGAAAAAAAATGTGTATTGATATTGAATGATTATGATCAGGTCCTGATACAAACTACATCATAAAGCTGATAGCATGGGATGGGAAAAACTTGGGACAGCCATCTGTGGAAAGTCAAAAGACAGCGATAGGTAGGGTTGTTTTTAGAAAACATTGAACAAGTTCCTGTGTGAAAGTGTCTATGAAGACCTTTGTATTATATTAATTCCATTTGTAATAAGTTTTGTTTATTTCTTTCTCACTTTCATATTTCTTCTTTCTAAACTTATTTATTATTTCAGTTTGTATGTCCTTCCTACTCTTAAAGATTTTTTTTCTTCATTCCTTTGTATTGTACTTATTTGAACAATTTATTCTACATAGGAAAAATGAAATCAGGTTCTGGAAAACAATTATCACTTAACCCAAAATGCCAGCCTACCAGTCCAAACACTCTGTGGATTTCCTGGCAAACAGTTTTCTCCCCTAAAAGAATAGCATCATATAAACTTTGGTACGAGATCAGTGGCAACATCAACCATGAAACAATCTTGACCAAGACTGTACGCACTGGTTTGAGTACATATCTTCACTCACTGATTCCTGGCAAAAAGTACCGTGTGACAATCAAACCCTTGGGGAGCGATGGCAAGGAAATAATGAAATTTTTTCAATCAGTAGTGGAATGTGAAACACCTGAAGCTGGTAGGATTATTATTGTAATCATTGCTAGTGACAAAATATATCATGATATCAACACCCTTTATCGAGTCCAAAAATATAGAAATAGACATTCTGAGTCAGGCTTGTACTGTACTAGTATTCAAACACCAGTTACAACTCTAATCTAAASTAGTATAAATATAAGCTCTACGATTGCAATTATCTTATGTTTGTCTTTTTAACAGCTCCATCAACACCACCAAGAAATATACAGTTCAAGGTTGAGTCAATGTCATCATTACAATTAAACTGGGAGCCTCCACAGACACCAAATGGCCAYACAACAAAATATGTAATAGCTTACTCAACAGACAGGAATCTACCTGATGAACAGTGGAAACAGGTTGTAAATACCCTAAGCCTTCGTTTTTTCCAGAAATTTGAAAAGTTTGTACGCGCTACATTAACTGGCTTGAAGTACAATAGTGCATACTTCATCAAAATAAAAGCAGGCAACAAACAAGGTTATGGGCCTTACAGTAAACCAATCAAAGTACTAATGGTCTTGAAGAAAGACAGTCAGTCAACTATCAAGCTATCATTCAGGATCATTTCACTCTCAGCTGCTGAAGTCAAGTGGTCATGTCCTACCAGCACAAAGGGAAAACCAGTCCAGTATAGAGTGATTTATACTAACAAACCAACATTACCGCATTCAGAATGGTACCATGTACCTGTTGTTGTTAATTCAGGCYCTCAAAAAGCTGATAGAAGTGTATCAGTGCAGATAGCAAATTTGTCTGTTAATCAGACTTATTATGTGAAGGTCCAAGCTGATTATGGGAAAGTTGTTGGTCCATGGTCTGAACAACTTGAGATTAAGATAAAAGGTAATGACCAATATCACGCATGGTCATGTGTTTATTATCTTTATTTGATACTACATGTTTGTTTACTTCAACATAGAATGCCTGTATCCCATTCATACCTGCCTGGTTTTGACAAACTTTTTAATGCTTTCCAATTGATCTGAAACAATCACAAAGCATTTTCATGATCGTTTTCAGTCAGGATTTCATTTATAATCAAATATGTTTTGTTWGGTAATCTGCAATTGATGTGGGAGCAAGGATTATTCTAAATCATCTGTTTTTATTGACAAATTGAAAGTGGAATGCTAAAATTTCAATGGCTCTGATAACATCRGTAAAACTGCTTTGACAAAGGAACATTCCCTGGTTTATGATCCCCRCCAGTACTATGTTATTATTGTTGTCGTCACAATTTGTTTGGTTATATTGATGATGGTTTTTTCAGACAACCCTGATAAAAAGGAAGCAGTTATTGAGACAAAGAACTCAACAACCAACCCAGGCTCCGATACACAACCTTCCAAGAATAAAAGTGAGAAGGAAGATTTTGAGGTCAAGCTTGGTATAATCATTGGCTGCATCATTAGTGCATTCTGTGTTGTCATTCTTGTTTTATTCATCATCTGGAGATGTCCATGCAGGTGAGCGGGCTGTATCTCTCATTTTTCTGTAGTTTGTTCCTCACTTACAGTAGTTCTAGGATTAGAGAATGAACGAAAAAAAGATTACAGCTGAGTTCCCGAGAATGTACTTGCAAAAATAAAATTTTCTTCTGAAGTTTTGAATGAAGTTATGAAGAGTAGYAGTCCACTCAGAGAAAATGTAGAATATTAGGCAGTTGTGAGGACCAGAAGGGAGCATTGAAATRATTATGATATTATAAGTTTATACCAGATTGTCACTTCTCCGAACTATCTGTGTTCTGAAATATTTGTGATGTACATTTTTGGACAAGTCATTAAAATTTCCATGCATCAAAAAATATGTACTTCGATTTGAACTCAGTAATATCAACCTTTTGAATGTTTATGCAAGACTGTATGTCTGTTTTTATAAAGGTAAGAATCCTGTTCAGCATTTGTTTATAAAGATTAAAAGACTGCTTCCTCTGCACATATAAGGTTTTAATCTTTAATCCAAGCWTKCGGCCTACGCGGGTATTTTCAAGGTTGTTAGTACATGTATTAATACGTATAGCTAGTGCTCGAGAGGAAACTAGCAAAGACATAAAAAATTATTTGCATTATTTGTAATGAATCTTTTTTTCATGTTTAAGATTTTCAAAGAACCAGCACTTGGAGCAAAAGAAAAGTGGTGTTCCGAATGGAAGCCCAAGTAACCTGTCTAATGGTTTACCTAATGGGTACTCAGCAAGTCATCAATCAGTAGCATCAAACAGACTTGGAGGACGCAACTATGAAGAATCATCTGGTGGATCTAGTATTGGTTCTAGTGTTTGTCAGTGCAGGTGCACATGTAGTGGTAGGTATTGTTTGATTAACACAGTAGACAATTCCTAAAACTTTTTTCCTCCTACTTTGGGCTTCCTTTGTAACGATCATCTTGGCCGCTAGGGACTAGTGCGAGCTCTCTCACCTCCATTCTCCCTCTTTTGACAACCAAAAAAGACAGGAAGCCCGTGATTCTTAGTGATGTCTGCGGAGRAGGCTAGTCTCACTATTATTGCTGAAAATTCCATACATCAATTGTTTAATATCTTTAACCATATTTTGATTTATTTGTGAGATTTATCCTAATAAACTGTTATTTTTGTACTTATAATAGACCTGGATGYATTCCATTTTTTTCAATGTATGTTTGTACTTATCATTATTATGTTTTTCTCTGCAGCTGGACGGTGGCCATTGCCAAACTTGGTAAGATCTGTTCTCCTATTCACTTACCAAACCACAATGAGGCTACTGTGTAATGTGTGTGAGGACAGTGTGGTATTTTAGATTGCTGATTTTATTTCTTATTTTAGCAAACAAGACCTCAACAGCACACAGGAAACGGTCATATCATTACTGGGAATGGACATCTAGTTACACCCAATCAAACGCCCCCAAAAAGGTACCTACTACACCATTGATTATGCTTTCTTGCTTTTGTGATTTAAACATTATGAATTTGATTTCTTTCAGTAAACCATATAGTATTCCAAATGGTCAAGAAAAAGGTAATAGCCAATGTTTGTTTTTTTTTAATAGCTAAAATCCTGGACAAAAAGAGTTGAGTGAGAATGTTTTAAAAAACGCTGTTTATCTTTGTTTAGCAGTAATGAATGGTTATASCTTACAAGAGCCTCCCATACCCCTGCAGATGCTTGCAGTCCATGAAAATGGAAAAGTTGTGGTAAGAAATACAGTCGTCATCATTATTATTCATCCACAATTCTAACCTATAAGACTTCTTCATCCTCCTCCTTATGTAAGGGCATATCCAGGGGGAGAGACTGGGGTGGCTTACCACCACCTTAAATAGATATGAAATGGGTGAATGAAAATGAGAAATTGGGAATTATTCTGAAACACAACTAAAGGCAGCGTTCATCTGAAAGACGTTTTATTTTTCGCAGCCAGAAATGTGTCATTTTTTATCTAGTCTTGAGTTAGCCGTTAATTCAATGATTGAATTCTTCTTACAGGTTGGTACAAAGCCAACGACTACGAAAAGCATTTCTGTAGATGTGTGAAACCCATGGTATCCGTACGTGTCAATATTATTATTCATGAAGAATTTATACTATATAAACACCTTTATTAGCATATTGTTATATATACTGACTTAACTGGAAGGTGAAATTGAATATACACGATGATTCCGTAAGAAGTTATGGGGAAACATTTCTTTTTCAATATGATATTTGAAATCTTAGTAACTACAGCATTTAAAGATTTGCTAATCTTAGAGGTGATAATTCATCATTTAAAGCACTAGTGCCAGTCTTCTCTTTGTGTTCGTAACTTTCATTGACGGTTTCCCCATGATTCCTTGCGGTCGGTACATCTGCTGTGTTTTTTACCTCAGCAAAATTTATATTCATATGTATTTCATCMAGTGATTACAAAATGCCCTTTATCATATAATTATCTATGAAATACCTATATTTCTCTATTTCGTAAAATTGATATTTTCACTAGTGAAAATAACACATTCGAGGTTTCTCTATATAGTAAAAGTTGGAAAAAATATATTTTACGACATAGTTTGCTTTCATATGTAATTATATGATAAACAGAATATTACATGGTCGCTTGGAGATACGAATTTTATCTTCTCGTGTTGAAAATCTCTCACTCGTTCGCTACGCTCACTCGTGAGAGATCTTTTCAACACTCGAAGATAAAATCCGTATCTCCGCGCCCCCATGTAATATCCTCTATATTCGATATCCCATCGTGGCAAATAATCCCAGTTGATATGATTAATGTCGGGAAAAGCTTTCTTTTCCTGGTATATTCATTTATTTTTAGAAAAAAAAAACTAATAAAATCGAATCATTAATGGTGAGGCACGTTATCACTCAAGGGTTTTCTCTCAGTTTTGTGATGGAAATATCACATTTTCCATTTAACAAGCTGTCATGACAGTGAAAAGTTAATACATTTTTTCCTTGAAGTTGAAAACTACCTTGTGCCACATTTGCAAGCAGAAACAATCAAATAACCAATGGCAAGCGGTTTTGCATTAGCCAATTAGAAACGGGTTTTCTAATCCAGAGTCTTTGAGGACGATTCTTATTACTGTGACACAGGCG